AAAAAAAAAAAAAACTCTCAGCTGACTTCCACCATCATTTTAGAGACAGCTTATCTTCATTTCTGAGGGCCTCTGGAATGGGACAGCTAACACCTACAGCCCTCTTGCCCAGGATCAACTGCCTACATACTCCCCAGGGAATCGATATTTAATGACTCCCCTCCCCAGTGAATACTTCCCTTCACACTGAGAACACGAACTCAGACATCCTAAGACAGGCAATTCTAGGTCTTTTTTACCAAAATTTGGAAGGTAATGACCTTGACCATCCTGTATTCCCCAAACCTCCAAAAATACCCTGGCATATAATATGGGCTCATGGCATAGTTTCCAATGAATCACATAACTGATTCTGTTAAGGCATGTGAATGGATATACAGTTGGGCATATATGTTGGGCTAATGTCAGGCTTCACCACTGATTATTTTGGTAACTGACTTACCCTCAGCCAGTTTCTCCTGCTATAAATGATAGGGCTGGCAAGAGTACTACTACCTCCAGGGCTTGTTGGAAGGACTAGAAATACCATGTAAGGCCCCCTCCCCCCACCCCAGCATGGGCCTGGCCCAGTTTTGAATAAAGAACAACTATGTACAACACACAAAGTGAAATTTAAGGCACATCAGAAAATGTGTTGCAATAACACAGCATACATAATTTATCAAGTCATAAGAAAAAATCTGTGGATGAGTGGGAAAGACCAGAATGGGGATAAATGACTTTTCTGGACTTTACAAGACCATCATATTATTCCCAACAGGAAAAGATCCAAAATGTTCCAGGGCCAGCTGCTGGGTATGACTGTGGCCTCACACCTGCAGGAACAAGGGGCAAGTGTGATTCACTATTCCCTGCAGGCTCATCTTGCTGGGCACAGGAGTCATAAATACTGAAGGGCGTGGTGATGGAGGGTCCTATGGAGTTGGCACCTCCTTGATTGAATTCCAAGAGAAGCTGGGCAAATGTGTGTGGATGGAGGAGGGAACAGGATAAACCACACCTCCCTGCTTTAGCTTGTGGTCCCTGGGACCCGGAGAGGCAGAGGAATTTCAGGGACACAGAAAGGAATCAGGAAAAGAATTCAAAAAATTGTAGTCTACACTCAGAACACTGGAAGAGGAGAATCTGGGACCCAAAGGATCCTTCATGATGCAGATGCCTCACTGTCCTCTTGAGGAAATCGGGATCTCCCGAATTTAAACGACCTTCCAAGGGCAAACAGCTAATAAATGCTGGAAAAGGAGAACCTGAAGGGCAGCTCAAGGCTCTGTCACTATACGATACTGCCCCCCAGGAGCCAGACCTTAAAATTCCCTCTGCCAAAAATCTATTGGATGGAGCAGGAATAATTATGAGGAAGAAGGAAGCAACTGATTCATTTAATTTTTAAAAAGGGAACTATTCTGTGTGGTCTTTCTCGTGCCCTATTCGGGTCCGTCCACATACCTTAACTGAAATTAAAAATGCAAGGCACAAAGACGTAAGAACAAACGTGTCATTTGAAGCTTAAGCGGTCGAATCTGCCACGGAATCCGGGCACTCACTCACGATCCCTACCCCCCACCACCACCACCTCTCAGGGTCCAGATGCAAGGCCTCCCTTCCTCCACAGGAAAGCCCTCACAACAATGCCTTTCAAGCCCCTGGAGTGGGGAGGCTGCACCTTGAGACTTTATGGAAAACGGACCAGTGGTCAACTGAGTACCATGATAGTTCATAGCGATCTTCCTTTTTTAGCCCTCAAATTCCAGTTCAGACTCACTTTCTTTCCTTGCATCACTGGGGTAGCCTTAAAGATTTTTAAAAAATGACCTGGGAGAGAGCAGGGTTTCAAGGATTCGCCGGGCGACCTGCACGCGCTCGCGCAGCAGCGACACCCAGAAAAAAAGGGAAGAAGGGGCAGGAATCTGACCTAGGGCTTCCAGGAGCCTACAAATCCTCCTCCTCCACCTTCAGACTCAAGTTCCCGCGCAGACAGAACCGGATTTTCACTACAGCTTTAAGATCCAAGTAAGATTTGCCGAAACTTCCACTCCATCTCCACCCCCGCCCCAGGCGGCCCTTAAGTAGTGTGGCTATCACGTGCGAAAGGGTGTTGCAAATCTCAAAATTCCCAAAGAAAACGGGGACCCGGAATTACAGGTCGCAGATACCGATTCGAGCGGTTTGCAGAGCCTGGCCAGCCTGTCCGGGCATACTAGCGGGGCCCGGGAGGCGGCCGGGTGGAGGACCTGAGCGTCCCAGCGCCCGGTCCCTGCCTCCTCCGGGAGCAGGCGGCTAACGCAGCCACCAGCCGCTCGGAGGCGCGTGGCAGGAAAGAAACGGCACCGCGGCGGAAAGGGGCGAGCCTCTGGCATGCGATTTACAACAGCAAAAAGTCTGCAACCTAGCGGCTGCTTTCCACACGCCCTGCCAAGTTGTCCCCGTAGCCGCCACCTCTAGGTTCGCGGGGTCCGGCCCCAGAGCCGCACGCCGCGCGCTCCCCAGGCAAAATGCCTAACCAGGGGGCGCGGGAATGCCGCGAGAAGAGGCGGCAGCGGGTCTGTCCCCAGTTCTGGGCCACAAAGAGCGCCCGCGGTTTGGAAAGCGGCAGCCGCAGAGCAAAGAAAAGGCTCTCCAACTTTGCCCTCGGCGCAGCTAAGAACCTGCGGGCTGCTCGTCCAGTGCGCCGATCACACGCACGCAACTTTCAACAAAAGGCAGCAGCGGCCGCGCCTCGCACCGCAGACCTACCGCGCTGGGTGCGGACCCCGGACCCGCCCGCCTCGGTCCCCGCGTACCCTCCGCACAAAAGCAACCCCGAACTCGCACGCAGCCTGCAGCCCGCAGCCGCACCTCGCCCACTCTTGAGCCCCCTCGCTGCCCTCCCCGCAAGACCCCCAGCTCAGCGCCCTCGCCACCAGCGGCAGCGGCTCCTCGCGCAGGTGAGCGAGGCGGGGTGCAGGAGAGTCCCGGGAACGCCTCGAACCTTCCCGGAGCCTGAAAAGCACGGGCAGTGGAGGGCAGTCAGCCACCTCCGCCGACGAACCCCCCCAGCGGGTTCGAGCCCTCGGGGGACACAGGCTGCACCGGGGCGGGGGGGCGCGGCCCAGGGGCCCGCGGCGCTCTCCCACCTGTCTGGACGCGGAACAGGATGAGCAGGACGCAGAGAAAATCCCAGGCGCCGCGAGCGCCTCTCATCGCGGTGGCTGCGCTGGGATCGGAGCTCCGTTCCACGTTCCGGCTCTCGCCCAAGTGCACCGAGCGCGGCAAAGCCGGGCCCCCAGAGCCGCGAGCTCCGAGCAGCGGCCCCTCCTCCCAGCGCCCTCCCCCTGCGCGCCGGCCACGCCCCTTCTCCGCGCCCCCTCTCGCGTCCCCTCCCTCCCTCGCTCCCGGGTCTCGCTCTCTCCCGGCGGCATCTGGCCTCCGCTCCTTCGACGTGCTAATCCCCGGAGGCTGAGACGGCAGGGAGGAGGAGGGCGTGCTGGCCCTCGCCGCCCGCTCCTGACCCTGGAGCCCCTTCATCTCTCTACCTCTCCTCCTCCCTTGTGATGTGGTCGGGGGGCCGAGGCGGCTGCCAGACGAGGGGGGTGCTGCCCGCGCGCTTTGTGAAGCCCGGCACCCAGCGCACATTAGGGCCCGGGCCCGCCACCTGGCAGGTGCTCCCCAGACAATAAAGGTCCCCCGCCCGGGCCTGGAGCACGCTCCGGTGGGAAGAGAAGAGACGCCGCTGGTGGCGGAGGTGGTGCGGGAAGCGACAGGAATTGGAGCGCAGGGGATTAGGAATTAGGCCCCCACATTCTGTTCCATGTCGGTTAATGGAGGGGGACCAAGAGAGGCGCCTGACACCGTGGTAAAATGCTGAGCCGGGGCGTAGGTAATCATGCTCAGTTCCTCCACCTGCTCTTAACCATAAAAACACAATTGGTTTCTATTGGTCGGGGTGGCCTCCGCCCAAGAAGCCCCTGCCGAGACTTTCCTGGAGAACCCAGCTTGGCTTTCCGCGTGGGGAAGAGGGCCTTGCGAAGTTTGCTCTGGGAGCCCGAGTTTTTAAACCCATTTGCGCCAGAGTCGCTGTGCTAAGCTCTTTGGGAGCCTCCTCCTTCACCAACCCCCCTCTACCCTATGGTTTCCCTGCCTCTGTACCAGAGGACGGTTACTGGGGGCAGGGGTCCCGGCGGTCCTCTTAGCTGCCCTAGCCAGTACCAGGAGCAAAATAATAGTAAAATAATTATCTTAAACCAGGTTCCACTGCCTGGGAATTGCTTTATCCAAGGTAACAACAGTATCTGTACAGGGTTTTATAGTTTCTCCTTACTCTAATATTCCACGCTCACAACAGCAGCTTTGTGAGACAGGTAGAGCAGAATGTTTATTATTTGAGTTTTAAAAGTGGCCCAAGACCGCACAGCAAATAGAGGAGAGAGCTAGTCATTTTAAGACTGACTCCAGGTATGATGACCTTTCCCATTGCGTTCGTATAAACCAGGAAAACACCTTACCAGAGAGCTTCAAAATGGAAAATAAATAGGAGGTGCCTATCAGAAAAAGTGGGGGAGTCATATAGATACACCTAGACTCTTCTCTAAAATAGCATCCAAAAGATATAGTTAACCAGCTCCCCCACTGCACTTTATTTAATATTGAAAGCTCTCTTCTTTGATATTGATAGGACCTAAGGTAGTTTTTTTAAGAGAGGATTTTTAAAGCTAATGACTTAAAAATTATCACTTCTAGGGGTGTCTGGGTGGCTCACTTGGTTAAGCGCCTGCCTTCGGCTCAGGTCATGATCTCAGGGTCCTGGGATCAAGCCCCTCCTCACTGGGCTCCACGCTCAGTCCTCCCACCCTCTGCCCCTCCCTGCACTCATGCTCCCCTCCTCCTCTCTCAAGTAAATAAAAAATATTTTTAAAAAATTATCGTTTCTAGGTCAATCAATATGTATGATTGCCTCTCCCTAAACTCATGTATTCATTGAAACAAGCGTGTAAGTGTGTACTCTGAACAAGGAAGAGCTAGGTACTGGGAGTACCATCGTTAATAGACAGAGGTGGGCCCTGCCACAATCCTTATAGTCAAGACTGGGAACCCCCACCCCAATGTCTTAGCAAATGTGTCAAGTCATACAGCTGTGGGAAAACTGAAATTCAAAGGTCTTTCTGTTTGTGCTCTGGGCCATCAGACCACATCTTTTTCTTAGGATGACAGAGATAAAAGCTACCACTCAAAGCAATCATAAGTTTCTGGGATCTTGATTTATTTCTAAAATCCATTTTGTAGTAAGAAAAAAATCACTGTGAGTTAAAATATCAACATTATGCCTGAGAGAAAATTTACAATTTTCTTCTTCAATCAACTGATACTGGAGAGGATAACAAGTCTTCAAAAGAGCGGGTGAAAAGAGACCATATTGCAATTTAATTCTAGGCAGGAAACTTCTATCAGAAAAAAAAAAAAAACAGAATAGGGAATTATACAATGCTGGATTGTCAGTCATGTTTACCATCCAACAAATATCTACTGAGCACCTTGGTAGGCACAAGACCTCCAAAAATCAGTAAGACAAAGTCCTTGCCTAGGGGGATTCACAGTCTGGGAAGGTAAGCAGATACCCAAAAAGAAACTCTAGTATCGGCTAACAGGGTTTCTGTTCAGCCAATACACACCAAGTTGGTCACATAGGTTGGTAGAATATTGAAGTCCTTCTGTATTGATTGGGAAAAAAGTCACTGCCCTAAACACTGAAGTGCCCCTTCACTCCAATCCCTTTCTTAAGATACCCCAAATCTCCTCAGATGCAGCCATTAAAGGTTTAATGCCAGGCATAGCAGAAAGTCCCCAGCCCCTGTGCCTTTAGGGTTACTAGCTATTTTTTTTTAAAGATTTTATTTATTTATTTGACAGAGAGAGAATGAGAGAGAGAGCACATGAGAGGGCGGAAGGTCAGAGGGAGAAGCAGACTCCCTGCCGAGCAGGGAGCCCGATGCGGAACTTGATCCAGGGACTCCAGGATCATGACCGGAGCCGAAGGCAGTCGCTTAACCAACTGAGCCACCCAGGCGCCCAACTAGCTATTTTTAGTAACACCTCATGCCAGCAAAGGAAGGCATAAGAAAGTACTCTAAGTGACCTGCTATGGGAGTGAACTACATTTTAGAATATGTCCGATAGAAACACAACGATGGAAATGTTTTACGTTGTCAGGTAGGATGTACTGGGCCAAATCTGTACTCTTTTTTTATGACAGCGCTGGAGCCTTTTATAAATTATACTTTACATAGTTTATTGTTTTCATAACTGTATTATTGCAACTTGTAGAACCCAGCTCAAACGGACTCAAAAAAAAAAAAAATACAAAAAAACAAACCTAAAATGTAATGGTTCTTAGAACTGGAAAGTCCAGTGAGGCTAGCATTCGACACTTTCCTAGATTCAAGAATTCAAAGTCATCAGGACTTGAAGGTGGTGTGTGTGGTGTGGTGTGGTGTGGAGTGTGTGTGTGTGTGTGTGTGTGTGTGTACACATGCATCTCTCTCCATGTCCATCCTTCAGCAGCGCGCTCCTGTATGACTCCCCGGTCTTCATGTGCACTCACGCAGCTCTAAGCTCACAGCTTATTAGTACCAATGTGAGCAGAGCTTTTCTGCCCCCGTGAACATCTCCTATAAAAATACTGACCCAGCTTAAGTCACACGCCCATCTGGGACCAGTCACTGAAGCCAGATGGGGAGGATATGATGATTGACTGGGTCTGGATCCCACGCCCACCCTGGGAGCTGGGGGTTGAGGGTCCATTTCATCCACACTGTGAGGTCTAAGAATGAGGGAGGATGTGTCCCCAAGGAAAAACTGAGGCACTCTTACTGGAGGAAGGAGGAAGGATGCCGCACAAATAGAACAGAAGATGTTCATAATAGCCACACAGTCAAAACCTCTAATGTGAAAATTTTTATGTTTCTGATGGTAAAAGTCAAGGGGCCTATTGTAGAAGATTTAGGAAATACCAAAGATCATAAAAAAACAAAAATCACCCAAGATATAATTACTAAAGTGTTTATTTTTGTATGTTTCTGTTAAATCCTGTTCCTCTGCTTATTGTAAGGGTTTTTTTTTTCCTTTGTGTCATTTAAGATTTTATAATATTTGTTAGTTTTCTATCCATCTTTTTTACTATGTGTAACATAAGCATTGTCCCAGATGATTAAAAATTCTTTTGAAGCAGCAGATAATGGCAATATAATGTTTAGTTGTATTATGTACCATAATTCTGGGTGTTTAATTATTTCTCTATTTTTTCCAGTTGTTTTTTTTTTCTATCACAAATTACTCGGTGATGAGCATCTTGGTGAATAAAGCTTTTCTGCCTCTGATTATTTAGGAGGCATTCCTAGAGGTGGGATTACTACCCAAAAGGTATAATAATCCTTTTCCAGTTTGCTCCTTCATAGTCCTTGCTTTCCCAGTAACTCTTTGAAAGTCTTTTGTCCATAAAGTGGAAGAAATGAATGTATGGTCCTGATTGGTAGACTCTATTCTAATAATAACCACCTCATAGTTTATGAAGTTGGAAGAAAATAATGTATGCTCTTGGTTCAAGCTTTCATTCAGTATTTATTGAACAGCCTCCATGTGTCAGATGTATTATGCTAGGTGTAGGAATGCAAACTTAGGTAAGACACAGGGGCTGCCCTCATGGGACTTGGAGAGAAAGAAGGGACACATAAGGGGTCAAAGACTGAACTGTTATATATCCTCTAATGGAGGTGTGCACAGAGTGATGTTTGAACACAGATGAGCACTTAAATCATGTTGTATAGTGAGGCTCTCCCAAAGAGGTGGCGCTTAGATTCTGAGGGATCAGGATGAGGGGAAGACACAGCAGAGAGGAGAGGATGTTTAGTGGTAGAAATCACAGGTGTGAAGGGCCAGAGGCATGAAACAGCAGAGGGGTGGGTGTGGGATGTGGATCAAGAACCCTAAGTCCGGGGCGCCTGGGTGGCTCAGTTGGTTAAGCGACTGCCTTCGGCTCAGGTCATGATCCTGGAGTCCCGGGATCGAGTCCCGCATCGGGCTCCCTGCTC